GGAGCTGGGGCTCGGCTGGGCCTCCTGCCCGCGCCTCCCCGGCCGGGCTCCGAGAGCGGGAGAGACGAGCCCTTCGGTTCCTCGCCCCTGTCGCGCCCTTGGGGAAACTGATGCTGAAAAGAGTTAGGGTACCGCGGGGGGTCGCCTCGAGCGATCGGGGGTCCCGGCAGCGCCGGCGGCGGAGGAGAATTAACTTGCGGGCGGTCGAGCCCCTGAAATGTGAAACTTCGCAGGCGTGGTTCTGGAGCCCTGACGCTGAGGCCCGCCACCGCTGCCCCGGCGGTGCCCGAGCCGCGCCTTCGCGGCGGGACCCCCGAGTGTCGCTCCGGGCTCGCTGCGCGAAGCCCCGCCCGGAAGCGTCGGAGAAACTCCAGCACCCGGCGACTCCCCGGCTCCTTCACCCTTCCCAGAGCCGCAGCTTGTAACTCGACCACCAGCTTCAAGGTCCCCGTTTCTGGTTTGCAGTAGAGAGGCGACTTCCCTCCCACCTACACCCTACTCCACGAGCGGCTTGTGTGCGTGATCGGGAGATGATGGTGATTTCCTCACAAGCCATCCGCTCTCACCTAGGGATCCAAACGTGATGAAATTTCAGGCTGCCCCGCCGTCAGTCAGGGTTACTCAACTCTTGGTGGTCAAGGTCAGCTCCAGGGATGAGAGACAGGTGTTGGAAGCCTATAGTAACGGCCACGGAAGCGTTTCTGTAGCGGCCAAAGGGGATTTAACGAAAAACAGCGAATTTGATTTTGTGCAAGTGGCTGACGACAGTCCACTTAGCAGGTAGAACACATAGGTGAAACGAAAATACCGGCACTAGTTGCCAAATTGATGGTTCCATGTAATTCGGTTGAGTTACCAAGGGTGGCACACTCGCGTGCCATCAGCGACCAGGTAAGTAATGAGAGTAAGTCAAGCCCGTGAGGTGAGGACTGGCCATGGAGGTACCTGTGTTTGGCTTATGAGAACGTGGGCCTGTAGGCCTCAAAAGGCCGGAACGTCCAGTTTTTCCAGAGAAGGTGGAAATGTGTCACTTGAAATCTCTTGATTTTTAAATGTTGCCAACAAGTCCGTTTTCCAAAACAGCTCAGATTGATCAAAATGAATGCTGTTCAAATGTAGCCCAAAGTTGACAAGATCGTAACCTGTCCGGCACTAAGTACATGCGGTTTACTGCAGGGAATACAAAGGTATTAACATTGCTCCTAATCTTCTGAGTTTATAATTAATAGTTGAGGACACTCACTGACAAAAATAAATCACAGTAGATGCCACCAGGAGAGAGATTTTTGTATTGGAGTTTTTTAAATTAATTTATTTTTGTGTAGGAGAACTGGCGTGCTGAGGGTGGCAGGATTCAGAAAACAGCAGGGACCGGAACAGGTGGATTTACTGAAATACATTGCTGAGGGAAAGCAGCCAGCAAGACAGGAGAGGTCTGCACCATGAGGGGCTGCCCCCCATGAGGGGCTGCCCTGGGCAGGATCAAGCTAGTGCTGCAGATAGCTTCCTGGTGCAGATAGACTTAACCCCTTGGCCACCGGGGAGGCCCAACCATTTCTTCTTTTGCTATCAAGTTAGTACCTTGGTTCTATGCTCTTGTGGATTGAATGTTTATAGCCTACCTCGCCCAAACCACCCAAAATTCATACATTGAGACCCTACCCCCTATTAGGAGGTGATGATATTAGGACCTGGGACCTTTGGGAGGTAATAGGATTAGATAAGATCAGTCATGAGGGGGAGCCCCATGAATAGAATCAGTGCCCCTATAAAACAAAGGAGATCTTGCTCCTTCCCCTCTGCTCTCTGAGAATATATATATAATGAGAAGGATGTGTGTGTGTATCCGTATATGTAGCCAAATATTACACATATACCAGGTATATGCATAACCAGAAGAGGGCTCTCTCCAGAACCAACCATAATGACATGGATTTCAGACTTCCAGCCTCAAGCACTGCAAAAAATAAATTTCTGTTGTTTTGTTTGTAAGTCGACCACACTCTGGTCTTATAGCAACCCACACTCACTAAGCTAGATGCCAGGTGTATAAGATACCATGATGGTGAATAAGGTATTCAGTAAACCCATGTAAGATGATAATGGTAAAACCTTGGCTGGGGAAAAGCCAGGTGAATCCAGCTTCTGTGTAAACCTCTGCCCAAAGCGGCTGAGGCGTTACACCCACCATGACGGGAAGAGTCCACCCTATGACAGTGCTGAGTAATAAGCAGTAGCCAGGTCGCCTTGCCGAGGGGTCCTGATGAGCCTGTCCTTCAGAACCTCATTTTGACCCCGCAGTCACTTTATGCATGACCTCAAAAGCAGACACTGGCTAGTCTGGAGCTTACCTGTGGCTACTGTTTGGGTTTCTTGTCCACTGATTTAAGTCTTCTTCAGCAGCAAGGCCCTTTTGATAACTATTTACATAGAGTGCAAATGCTCTCTTTTAGAGGTTCTCTTACTTTCTCCCAAAACTCCTTGCCACCCAGCTAAGTCCCTGACCACTTGTCCATGAATGAGTGTAGAATCTGTTTTTTTCCCCTTAAGATTTATTTTAGGGGCCTCCCTGGTGGCGCAGCGGATTAGAGCGCTGCACTGCGAAGCTAAGCCAAGCTGTGGAGCCTTCAGTGTGAGTTCCATCCCAGCCCCAGAGCTGATCCACATGGCGCAGCAGACCTCTCCTGTCTGGCCTGCTGTTCCCCTCAGCAGTGTTTATCAGTAACTCTCTCTGTGCTGCTCCTCATTCGTCTCTGGTGAGTCCTCTTGCTGCCCCTATACCTCTTGCCTATTCTGTTTTTTAGTTATTTATGCATACCTGTTCTGTATGCATAAGTAAATAAAATCTTTAAAAGAAATAAAAGATATATTTATGTATGTATATAAGACCTGGGATACAGGCCAGAGGTGTGGGGGGTGAGAGGATTCACCAGAGACAGTGAGGAGCAGAACATGTAGATCTACTAAAATATACTGCTGATGTGACCAGCGGGCCAGACAGGAGAGGTCTGCTGTGCCATGTGGGTCAGCTTCCTGGCCGGGGATAGAATTCTTGCTACAGTGGCCGCGGATAGCTTCTTGGTGCCGGGACTCAACCCCTTGCGCCACCAGGAAGGCCCCCTAGAATCTTTCTCAAAAAACACAAGAATATAATCAAACCTCTGCCTGCTGGGGACATCGCCTTTGGCCACTGTCCTTTTACAACCATCTGCAAGTCTAATACCTTAAGCACTTCATGGCAGCAGGTTATTGGGCACGAGAAGCTTCATGTGGTCACTTGGCCACAGTCAGGCTGTCGCTCTTCACCAGGACGCAAGGAGCTATGAAGAGCAAGATCAAGAATGGTTATTAGCCAGAGGGAGAAAGACTCTGCTCTAGAACTCCAGGTACCAGGCTGCTGCCACGCGCTCTGTGCAGTCCCCAGCGTGTGGCTGCCCACACAGCACAGCTGGACCCCCTGGCCCTAAGGACTGAGTTAGCCACGCTCCTCTTCAGCCTGAACCTACTGAAGAGCCTTGTGCCGTGTGGGTCAGCTCCCTGGCTGGGGATTGAACTCATGCTGCAGTGCTGACAGCTTCATGGTGCCGGGACTCAACCCCTTGCACCACCAGGGAGGCCCCCTGCTCTCGCTGTGGCTCCATGATAGCAGACTTTCAAGTCACTAGAAAATGGGTTAAAGGCGCGCCAAGCATGATGCAGGTTGCCCTCTATACCCGGAGAGCACCGCCAGTATCCAGAACACCCAGAAACCACTGGACTCCTCACTTCCGTCTTGGGTTCTGCAGCCCCAGCCAGTCTCTTCCAAAGACTCCCTTCCATTCAGGCAGCCCTGTGGCAGGTTGACTTGTTTCTCCACTGAGTGGCCTGGGGTGTCGAGGCCCCAGTAGTAGATGCATTTTCTCTGCCATCAGCTTCAAAAGACTAGACAGGGCCACAGCCCCTCCAACTCCTTTGGTTTCAACTTCCTTACCAACTGGGAGTCAGGTTGCCTACTGCAGTGACGGGACTGCCTGCTTGAAGCACACAGAATCCCGGAGTGTGCCCAAGCACCAGCAAGTGTCCCAATCAGGCTGCAGAACTGGACCAGTGAGGACAGCATGGCAGCCTGGCTGCCTGGCAAGAGGCGCAGCTGGCCCCGGGTAGCACCACAGGGCACGCTGCGTTGCCGTGGCCCCGCTGGCTGTCCGTTCAGGGGCTGACGTGGATGCTGTGGCACATCCAGCTGCCAGGGAGGCCAGGACGGCCAGTACCTGATGCTTCAGCTCGTGAGGCGGCAGGGTGTGCCCTGGCTGTGGTAAGATGCACACAGAAGTCAGCGTGAGCTGATTTGCATTTGGGTCTGCTGGAGAGGGACGTTTCACAGACCAGCCATGACGGCTCTGTCAGGACTGAAGACTGTTCAGGAGGGAAGTGACTAGCTCTGGACCTTCGTCCCTCAACCCTGCCCGAGCCCCAGTTTCCTCACTCATAAGTTAGGGGGTTGGTTAGAGATGTGCACTCTAGCTGCCATTTCACATTACAGCACCGAAAACAGTAATGAGAGGGCACAACATGTACCACCATGAGAGGGCAGAACAATGTAGCATAAAAGAAGAAGTTTTCTTTACAAAAGGGAATTATAATAAAACAAAATATAGAGCATTACAGGAGATGTCAAACAGTGAATTTGTAACACTTTCAAAAGCCCTTTACAAAAAAGAGAAGAAGAAAATTTGAATTGGAATCCAAGTCCCCGACTTTTTTCCCTCAGTTTTGGGTTTTTTTGTTTGTTGTTGTTTTTCTTTTTCTCTTTTTGGGTTTTAAATAGCTCCTGCAATTCCTGATCAAGGCTCTTGAACAATGATCTCTTTCAATGACAAGAAACTGTTTGCAGGAGTAGATGATTTTTAAAAATTAAACTTTTATAACCACTCAAACATTGACAATGGCAGAAATTATAGTTAAGTTATATTTAGAGCTTTTCTTTCTTTGACAAAGGTGCTTCTAAAATTTCTTGTGGATTCGGGATCTAACCACACTTTCACAGCTAGCATTTTTTTAGGGTCCTGCTAATGTCAAAGTCACAGCGAAACTCTTCTTCACAGGACAGCCAGGCACTGTTGAGCCGGGCAGCTCACATTTTGCCATCCCTTGTGGCACACTGGCCACAAATAGGCAGAATCAGGGCCCTCCCTCGTGGCACTATGACTCTATCCGCAGCCACTGCCGCGTGAGTTCTATCCCCAGCCAGGGAGCTGATCCACATGGCGCAGCAGGCCTCTCCTGTCTCCCTGCTGCTCCCCTCAGTCAAACTGCCTGTTCTGCTCCCCACTCTATCTTTGATCAGTCCTCTCACCCCTATACCACTGGCCAGGTACCCCAGTTCTTGTACGCATAGATAAATAAAAATAAATCTTTTTTTAAAAAGGAAAAAAGAAATGATGAACGGTATCAATACTGGCTTGGGATAGGCTTAGCTGAATGAAAACTCAGGACAGACTGATGAAGGAAACTGGACCCCCAAACCTACAAACATCAAATCTGACTTCCGCTCCCTTCTCTGTGGCCACTGGCTTCAGGTTTTGTGGACTCACTGACTCCTCCCAGTTGACTCAGGATCACTATCTCGGGTTTGTGTACACCTTGTCTGTCATCTGGAGCCCGGAGCCCACTCGTGGCCCTGCGTCTCACCAGCGTCTCTGGTCCAGACCTGTGCGCATGACTTGTTCCTTAGCACCCTTTTGTTTACCGCCTTGGTACCACCTTAGTGCCAAGGATCCCAGTCCCCCAAATGCAAACACAAACATTCTGCTCACCCAGCCCTCAAGCAATCTCCCAGGTGGGTGGGAGCAAAACATCCTGGCTCTAGCTGAGATACCCCACTGGGAGCTTAAACATGCTG